ATCGATAAGCTCTACCCACGAGTGGAGTGGCCGGTGGCCAGGAATACACAGTCTATCGGATCACTCATCAAATGGGATCATAGCTTCAAATACTCGCATAAATTATATCCCGAAAACTACAACCGATTCAATGCCTCGGATATGAATATATACGTCGATCCCATCGCCAAAGAGGACGCCTTTTATTTAGATCATAGTCTCAATGGCAGAGCTATATTTCCAGCGGCCGGGTATCTAATGTTGGCCTGGCGTCTATTGGCCGCAGGATTTGGAAGAATATGGTATCAGTTGCCAGTGATCTTTGAAAACGTTCACTTCAAGTCGTTTATATTATTATCTCAAACATCAATCACTGATATTAAGGTCAAACTCTACCCCACATCAGGTCTGTTACAACTGTTTTGTTACAAAATTATTTCTTATAATAATATCTTATAAGTAGCAAAACACACCTCTATTATAGTGTATGACTACTATACAGTCTATACTATTACCGGTATTATAATTTAATAGTGAATCATTAAAAATAGTAGTATTCTGTGATACTGAAGCTTGACACAAATAAATTTATTGTAATTAGTAAAACTAGTCTATAATTAATACCCAGGTGAGTTTGTAGTGATGGACAACAATAAAAATATATGCGTTTCGGGTACTATTCGGACACCGGATGATGGGGTGGTTCTTCCTGGCGTCTATTGGCCGCAGGATTTGGAAGAATATGGTATCAGTTGCCAGTGATCTTTGAAAACGTTCACTTCAAGTCGTTTATATTATTATCTCAAACATCAATCACTGATATTAAGGTCAAATTCTACTCCACATCAGGTCTGTTACAACTGTTTTGTTACAAAATTATTTCTTATAGTAATATCTTATAAGTAGTAAAACACACCTCTATTATAGTGTATAACTACTTTACTATTCATATAATTTAATAGTAAATCATTAAAAATAGTAGTATTCTGTAATAGCTTGACAAAAAATAAATTTATTGTAATTAGTAAAACTATACTATAATTAATACCCAGGTGAGTTTGTAGTGTTGGACAACAATAAAAATATCTGCGTTTCGGGTACTATTCGGACACCGGATGATGGGGTGGTTCTCTGTCAACAAAATGAGATCTTTGGTGATGAGGGACAACACGTGAATGGATGCGAGTATACACTGGGAAGGGATGACATCTACAAAGAGATGCGAATCTTAGGCTACGATTACGGACCAGAGTTTCAACGGTTATGTAAAGTCGGGACAAATGATTTCCACGAGATTTACGGCATATGCGAGTGGACCGTAGTATACGCTGGGAAGGGATGACATCTACAAAGAGATGCGAATCTTAGGCTACGATTACGGACCAGAGTTTCAACGGTTATGTAAAGTCGGGACAAATGATTTCCACGAGATTTACGGCATATGCGAGTGGACCGGAAATTTCGTAACATTTTTGGACGGGTTGTTACAGTCGATGATAGTGTCGGCGCCCTATCGTAAGCTAATGGTGCCGGTGATGATGCGTCGACTCCGAGTGGATCCCAATGCATATGCGAGTGGACCGGAAATTTCGTAACATTTTTGGACGGGTTGTTACAGTCGATGATAGTGTCGGCGCCCTATCGTAAGCTAATGGTGCCGGTGATGATGCGTCGGCTCCGAGTGGATCCCAAGGTTTTGTTCAATAAGATCAAACAAAGTCAAGTTGCCAGTGACCAGGGTAACAATGATCAAATGGACAAAAGTAGCGATTCATCGCAAACGGATATGTCTATCGATACATATAAGGGAAATACAGTCAGAAATATTGAGAGATTTGCCTTAAAGTCGGCTAAAATTGCCTTTCATTTTAACGATAAGTCCGACCTTTTGATAACATACGGGTTGGAGATGGAGGGTATGTCCGCCTATCCTATCCCTCGCAATATTGATAATACAGATCTAGTGCTCGACTCGTATGCCTTTCATGCAAATGAAGATTATGTAGCCATTGATGAGTGCCATAAGAGTTCTGTGGCTAAATATCTGGAGGTAATGATAATTAATTGAATATAAATCAGTGTTACTTGTATTTAGTTTATATTTTGCATATGCGAGTGGACCGGAAATTTCGTAACATTTTTGGACGGGTTGTTACAGTCGATGATAGTGTCGGCGCCCTATCGTAAGCTAATGGTGCCGGTGATGATGCGTCGACTCCGAGTGGATCCCAAGGTTTTGTTCAATAAGGTTAAACAAAGACAAGTTGCCAGTGACCAGGGTAACAATGATCAAATGGACAAAAGTAGCGATTCATCGCAAACGGATATGTCTATCGATACATTTAAGGGAAATACAGTCAGAAATATTGAGAGATTTGCCTTAAAGTCGGCTAAAATTGCCTTTCATTTTAACGAGAAGTCCAACCTTTTGATAACATACGGGTTGGAGATGGAGGGTATGTCCGCCTACCCTATCCCTCGCAATATTGATAATACAGATCTAGTGCTCGACTCGTATGCCTTTCATGCAAATGAAGATTATGTAGCCATTGATGAGTGCCATAAGAGTTCTGTGGCTAAATATCTGGAGGTAATGATAATTAATTGAATATAAATCAGTGTTACTTGTATTTAGTTTATATTTGACTACATATATTAAACAAAGGTTTGCAAATACATGGCTTTGAAAGTGCACCAGATGGGTTTCAAGCAAATGAAATGCGATTTCAATTACCAGTCCATCAGCGAGGATGTGATACAAGAGTACAGAAATGAAAACAATGAAAACCATGTGTTGTTTCGAGTGTTGGATAAAATACTGTCAGAAATTACTGATGAAAACCGGAATCTGAAGAACAGTACTCTTATTAATAACGTGTTGAATGAGATTCGCACGAATCCGGAGTACGACTGGACTCGAGATGTCGTGAATCAGGTCTCGGGTAACGAGCGATTGATACGAACTCTTGTGGACATTGTCTGCGAAAACCTTTTGTCGGTCTTTGAGGTCAAAGTATCGGAAATTAATTTGAGTAGAGCTCTGATGGCTACAGATGTGGATCAGTATATCAAGCATTTCAGAGCCACAACCAGTGACATCGATTACGATTTAATTGTTAAATCAAAACAAGATTTACCTGAAAAGTGTAAAATGTATAATTCAATGGAATGGGATCTAAAACAAGAGATACCATTAAAACCTTCACATTTGGTTATAGTGAGAGATACGCAAGATTTATGGGCTTTAGATTTGGATCAATTCATACAAGACTTGTATGACTTAATCAAATCTAATGGATTCCTATTAACGGTATTCCGGTATAAGTTCACTGAACCGGAACTGGCGTTGAATTCATTGAATGGAAATAAAGTCCTAAATAATTGTGATTTAGAGACTCGGATCACAAGTTTCATAACAATTGCCAAAAGTGTTGGCTTTCGTGTGATTTGTAATAAATGCGATACAATTGGATCCGTTATCGTACTGTTCAGAAAAGTGGAGGAAATCCCTAAAATTCCGGATCAAAATCATATCATTTATATAAATAATGATTACAAGCAATGGTTTCCAGTATTGAAGGAAAAGATTGTCACACAAAATGTTTCCGACGATAAGATGTCAAATATCTGGATTATAGCAAATGATTCATCAATTAATGGTATCATTGGTTTCATGAATTGTTTGCGTTTAGAGTCGGGCGAGAGATTGAGATATGTTTTCAATTATGACACCAAATGTGAGACGAAAATAGATTTCAATAGTAAACCGTTTTGCGATATATTGGC